GTTCTGTCAGGCATCCTTGGCTGCTGATATCCTTCCCCCGCTTGGTCTCACCCAAGATGGTGGCTCCAGGAGCAGCTGAGCATTTTGAATTAGAAAGCAGTGGATTTCTTGCTTCTGCTACAAAATTCCCCTAGCTGTAAGCCTTCCAACCTTCTATTCCTTTATATGTGGTTCAGAGTTCAGGCACCATCCCTGAGCCTGCTTGGTCTGGTATTCATTGTTATTGCTTACAGAGCTCCTCAATGCACTTTCATCCTCTCTGTCATCTTGTTTCTTCATGAGTATTTTTACAAAATGTTTTAAGCCTGTAAATTTGTTAATTCAGACTAATTGGATCAAAATATTTCCCAGTTAAGGAAACCTTAAAAAAATATGTTTGGATTATAAAATGTGTTTGAAGAATTATAAATTATTCTTATGTTTACACATAAGCCCTTTTTTTTTTTTTTAATTTAAAGCTTTTATTGAGAATTTAGTGAGTAAAAGTTTACAGGGCAGATCATCAGTTTTACATTTAGAAAATCATTGCAATGATTATAATCCCCTCCATGCACCATCAGAAAATAGTATTTACCTCCATTATCTTTTTTTTGATGTATACATACCACATTAAAAATAATATATTTGTTAAATGTCCAAAGGGTACATTTTGCAAGCCAGCCTCCTGCCCTGACATTGCCTTTCTCAGTCCTTAGGCCTATAGTCTTCTGCTGCTCTGTCTCTCTCTGCCATCGGCCTCTGCCTCCATCTCTGGTGTTACTTCTTCTCTAGTTGGATCCCTCTCTCCTTTCATGTTCTTCCCTCTTGGTGGTCCTAGGGTCTTCTGTTCCTGAAATGACAGATTAAATGCGCCCCCTTTTAGTTACACATCTTCTACATTTACAGTTGTAACAATTGCCATTAGACCTGATAAGTTACTCACAACTGAAACATAAAATCCTATCCCCCTCATCACCAGACCCATCTGGACAAGCGGAAAACTACTCGGGGATTTCTGTTCACTCTCCTCATTATGACACTAAACACCCTCATGAAAGCTTGTAAGCAAGCCACGTTGTGCCTTTATATTGCCCCTAGTTTCGATGCCGAAGTCTAAGTTGCCCATGCTTATCAACTCTGTATACTGAGGAGGCATGCTTGATCCTTGTTTTTTAATGTTTTATTGTGAATGTGATAGCTTACATTCATCCTATCATATATCATTTTATTGCCGTGGTTACAATTGCCTCCATGCATCATCAGCCAACCAAAGGTTATTCCCTGCAAGACTGCCCCCTGGTTGTCAGCACACAGCCCCTCTCCTTCTCCAGATATAGAGTTCCCAGCTGCTCCATCTCTCCACATCATCGTCTCTGCCTCCATCTCTGGCGTCACAGTTTCTTCACTGCACTCGCTCTTCTCTCTTGATGGTCCCAGGGACCTCCGCTCTTGGACTGCAAAGTCAATCACTCCCCTCCTTTTGCTACAAAACGTCTACGTTTACATTTCCAACTCTCACAGTCAGTCCTGATAGCAATTATTCACTATTGTATCACAAGGGACCTATCCCCATCTCCTTTCATCCCAGCCCATGCTTGATCCTTGATATGAAGAATCCTTCACTGTTTGGTTGGAATATATACATAAACTTTTACTGCCTTAGAATTCTTTCTAAATGCAGTATCTAGGGCTAATTGAGACATTTGTAATATTCATTTACCTATAAGCAATTAAATGTCCTCTAAAAACTTTTGAAAAACAGCTGTACCATCCTTCAAACTTTTTTACATTTCTTAGTAAATGCTTCATAAAAGTATAATAGTCTATTATTACATTTTAAACAAATTCAAATGCTCACTTTAATATACTATATTGTGTGTAGTAGTAAAAATTGACGCAATTAGTCTCTATACTTTCTATGCAAGTTGGCTATCACATATGAAATAATTGCATTTATTTATGTGTTTTTGTCTTTTTCTCCCCCTTTATATAGTTACTTCTGAGTGGAGGAGCAGACAATAAATTGTATTCCTACAGATACTCACCCACTACTTCCCATGTGGGGGCATGAATATGAATGATAATATGACGGTAGAGATGGATTATAAATGAAATTAATGGAGAATCTTCAGATTACATAGACCTGTAGGTCAACACTTCAGAAATCATTTAGATTACAGTTTTTACAAGGTTTTCTACCCCTGATAATAACTACCATCATTGTACTTTTCTTTATTATTTTGTATTTATGACAGTTGTGTTCATAAACTATTAAATGTGACCTGCATTCTACACCTTATGCTAAACTCTTGAAATTAAGCTGAGTTTGTTTCTTTTTTCCTTTTCAAAGGTATTGGTTTGCATTAAGATTTGTTTTTGAGATACTATAATATTTATATACATACAATAATTATCCTGTTTTTTATTTCTGATGGTGAAGCAGGTTTTTAAAATTAACTTATAAAGCATGTTTTGTTTGGTTTGTTGTTAAGTGCTGTCGAGTCTGTTCTTACTCATGGTGACCCTGTATAGGGTTTCCGAACAGCAGCTGGTGGGTTTGAACTGCTGACCTTGTGGTTTGAAGTCCAGTGCTAATCCTACAGCACCACACCAGGAGTCCATAAAACATATAAAGAAACTAAAAACTGGAAATACAGTTTGCTTTTTTATAAGAAAATAAGTCTTTGCAGGTGTTCAGAATATTAGAGAAGTACATGTTGCCAATTCTTTAGGATATTTGTTTAAATTTTTCAAGAGAAGTAGTTCTACATTAAAAATATTTCAGAAGTCCATGAAGCTTAAATATAAGCTTCATGGTAACCTGGAATCACATCTTTCCCTAACCTGTCCTTATATGTAGATAAGAGTAGCTTCTTTAAACAAACTCTTTTCCATCAGTATTTTATAATAAATACTCTACAGATTTTGTGATTGATCCTTAGCATTTACATATGCATATGTAAAATACCAAACATTTAAAGTAGACCTATTTTAAAGTGATTTACATCTTTGGTGGTGGCTGTGTGCCATGGAGTCGGTTCCGACTCATAGCAACTCTGTACAGGGTTTCCAAGGCTATAAATCTTTTTGAGAGCAGAACACCTCATCTTTCTTCCACAGAACAGCTGGTAGTTTCGAACTGCTGACCTTACGGTTCGCAGCCCAATTCCTAACCACTACACTACCAGAGCTTGATTTACATCTTTAATACATTTGTTTTCCTCAAGAATACCTTACAACTTCGTAGTATTAGTTTAGTCTTATCTCTAGACTCTTTAATGCAGTATATCTTAATGTTCCCATCATGGAGTTACTTCTGGGAAACAACATCTATATGTGGCTGCAATTGCGAACTAAATTAAAAGTGAATAAGCCAGTTAAGAGTTTAGTTCTCTCATAATATGGACAGACCAGGACTGATAAGGTGGTTTTGTTCCAGATTACTTAGGGACCCAGACTCTTTCTACCTCTAAGACATGGTCTTCATTCTCAAACAGACTAAGAGCTAAAACTCTAGTTATCATATTACTTCTTATAAAGTATATTTTAATGCCAACCAGGTAAGTAAATGTAACTAGAATATTCGTATAACGAGTCCTTATTTTCCTCATTTTGTATAGACTTGTCTTAATTTCATATCTGTTGTTCTTGTTAAGTGCTGTCAAGTCGATTCTGACCCATATCGACCCTGTATAGGGTTTCCAAGGAGCAGCTGGTGAGCTTGAACCACCAACCTTGCAGTTCAAACAACTTTGCAGTCTGGTGCATTAACCCCAGCGCCACACCAGGACTCCAATTTCATTTCTGTAGTTCTCTAAAAATCTAACATTCAGAGGGCAAAGATGAATTAATATTTCTGTTCTGGAAGGTCCTTAAGAGCTCATGTCTTTTCTAACCCACCCAGTGAGAGCTAATAAAATGCATAAATATAATAGATGCTCAAAGAAAAAGAAGCCTATATATTAGATGAAACAGAAAAAGAAGGAAGTGATTTCAAGTGCTGGTCCCTCATCTTTTCTTCACCATGATTCCAAAGCAGGATACATTCAAGATTTTGACTTTTATCATTGGAATGAATATAACATTAGTGACCAACGTTCATGGACAAAGATTGTCTCTGATGGATTTCTATCAAACTTCTCTCTTAGGAAAAGTCAAGCAGTTAGATCTTACTCTGAGCAGGAAGAATATGAGAGCCCTGTAGAAGTATAGAAAAGTCTTCTTGTGAACATTGCTTTCCCACTCTTCACTGCTACCATCTTTATTCAGAAGCAACAGTGTACCTTTCAATGGCCCATTTTCCTCTATTTTAGTTACATTAGAGACAGGTTTTTGTTGACACAATGGTTTAGTGCTTAGCTGCTAACAGAAACATCAGTGGTTTGTACCCACCAGCCAGTCTACAAAAGAAATAACAGCAGTATGCTTCTGTAAAGACTGTTAAGTACTGTTGAGTCTGTGCCTACTCATAGTGACCTTATATAGGGTTTCCGAGGAGCTGTTGGTGGGTTTGAACTGCTAACCTTTAGGTCATCAATCTAGTGCTTATCCTATATCATCACACCAGGACTCCCCATAAAGACTACAGTGTAGCAAACACTATCTGTCATATAGTGTCAATATGCCTCGGAATGGACTATACACAACAACAAATGTACTTCTAAGACTTGGAGAAATGAATGGATCTGCTTTTGTAAAGATACAAGAAGGTAGGAACCTGGCAGTGCAGTGCCAATACTGATTGATCTTACAGGATTATTTATGTAGTAAATCTAGCTCATAAACAGGCTGATGCTTGCTTTATTTGTTTAAACAACATTTTAAGAAATCCCATTCCTATTGTTTAACATAAACTTTAAAATATGCCTAATTACTGCATAAGTCTGTTCAAGATAAAAAAGGTTGAACTTCTACTATGTACCAGGGCCTTTATTATGAGGTAGCAGAATGGAGAAAAATAAACAAAAATGTGTAAGACATATACATTACTGCTTAAAAAATACCAAAGTCTCACAAAAACAACCATTTAAAAAATTGTCGTTTCAACAGTGTCCTAAGTGCAAAGAAAGATGTAAATGTTAGGTAGAAAGGTAGTTTAGAGACAAGAGGAGGGAGTTGGCTGTCAACAAAAGCCTCACAGAAGACTGACATTAGTGCCATACTTGGACAGGTCATGGTTAAAGTGGGTGGGGTGGTGGTGTAGGATATTCCTGGCAAAAGGAGCAGCAAAGAAGCATCAAAAGTGATAGTTCACAAATATGGTGAGACAGAAAGGCATAATAGTTACATGCTAAGTCATTTAGTTTTGTTTTCCTCTTTTAAATAAAGCTAACTTTCAGATCTTATTTTAAGACATGAAGCTTTTTTATATACTGGAAGACATGAGAAAAACAAAAACACCTTGCAATTATGATTATCCATAGGTTAGAGTGAAAGCTTGAGTCATAAAATTTTAATTCTATCTAGAATATAGAAAAACATAATAGTGCTTATATGAATAAATGAATAGTGTTTAATATAGCCTATTAGAATGTTTCCTATGTTGTATTATAAAATACCAGCAATTTTCTGGCTGGCCAACACAACCCTTAAAATAAGTTGATAAATGTTGTTGAGTTGGTTCTGACCCATAGTGACCCTGTATAGGGTTTCCAAGGAGCAGCTGGTGAGCCTGAACCACCAACCTTGTAATTCAAATGGCTTTGTAGTCTGGCACCTTAAACCACAGTGCCACACCAGGACTCAACAAGTACTACCTGGAAATTTCTGATAACTGAAATCTGTTCATACAGGAAAAAATTATTTTGATATATTCTAATTTGAAAAATTACAGTTGCTTATAGAAAGCAAATGTTAAGTGCCATCAAGTTGGTTCCAATGCACAGTGACCCTGTATAGAGTTTCTGAAGAGCAGCTGATGAGTTTGAACCACTGATCTGTGGTTCAAACTGACCTTGTGGTCCAGTGCACTATTCTATAACACCAGACCAGGACACCAATAAAGCAAAAAGGAGAAATATTCATGTTTGGTATTACTATGTCTATCCTATTCTTTAAAGGAACCCTGGTGGCATAGTGTTTAAAGGACTTGCTGCTAAATGAGAGGCTGATGGTTTGAACCTACCAGCTGCACCTTTGGGAAAAGAATATGGTAGTCAGCTTCTGTAAAGATTACACCTTTGGTCAACCTGACGGCAACGGGTACTACCAAACCTATTAGAGGAAGAAATAAGACATTTTAAGGCTCTCCATATGCAACGGATATCTAACTAATAGCTATTTTATAAAAGCCACTAGTACAAATCAGGTTTTCAGGCATGTAAAATCTAAACAAAAGCTGCCATGTATTAAAAACTACAGGAACTTGGTCATTTTTAATAAACGTTTACATTTTTTACTATTGTAGACTTCAAGTATTAAACATTAATGATGTCAATTAGTATTTTGTTATGCACTTGATAATCTGCAGTGTAGAAAAGTGTTCGTTTCTTGTTTAATGTGATTTCAGAATCAGTTCTATTGATTTGCATGTTTGAGGAAGTAAATTATTTTCTGATGGAATCTGTGAATTGGAAATAAAGTATCCCACAGTAACAATCCTATGCGATATGTGATATATCATCTGCATTTTAAAAAAGGAAGGTATGTGTTAGGACAGGTAAATTCCTCATATACAGCTGGGAAATAGTCAGGATTTAAATTCAGATTCATCTGAGTCTACAGTTTGAGCCCTTAACTAATATATATTCTGCTTTTTCTTACATAACACATAAAATTATGTTTTTATAAATATAAAGGATTAGTGTAAAAATACTGGGAGACCAACCAAAAGTTTGCCTGATAACACAAAAATAAAAGTAGTCTTTGTTTTCTAAGGAAACTAGGATTACAGGTTTAGATCCCAGATTTACGTAGGGTAGTGGTTACAAATCGGGCTGTGAACCTCAGGGTCAGCAGTTCGAAACTACCAGCTGTTCTGTGGGAGAAAGATGAGGCTTTCTGCTCCTGTAAAGAATTTACAGCCTTGGAAACCCTGTACAGGGTCACTGTGACTCCACAGCATATAACAAC